CTTCAAGGTTTATCCATGTTGTAGCATGTGTCAGAATTTCTTTCCTTTTTAATGCTGTATAATATTACATTGGAATATAAAGTTTTTTTTAAATTAAATTATAGTTGGCATGAAATGTTGTATTAGTGACTTGACATTTATATACTTTACAAAGTGGTCACCATGAGAAACAAAGTAACTACCTGTCATTGATATTATTAATTGCATTCACTACATGTTTCTTTGTATCCCTGTGTCTTATTTATTTATTTATTTATGTATTTATGTATTTAAAATATAGTTTATTGATTTTTTACAGAGAGGAAGGAAGAAGGATAGAGAGTTTGAGACATCGAAGAGAGAAACATTGATCAGTTGCCTCTTGCACACCTCCTACTAGGGATGTGCCTGCAACCAAGGTATATGCCCTTGACCAGAATCGAACCTGGGACCTTTCAGTTCGCAGGCTGATGCTCTATCCACTGAGCCAAACCGGTTAGGGCCTCTGTCTTATTTTATAACTGTAAATTTGTACCTCCTAATTCCTTCACCTTTTTGCCCAACCCTCTGGCAGCTATCAGTTTGTTTTCTGTATCTATGAGTCTGTTTACTTGTTCATTTGTTTAGTTTTTTGGATTCCACACATAAGTGAAAGGATACAGTATTTGCTTTCTCTGACCTATTTTACTTACCATAATACCCTCTACATGTTGGATAGACTACATTTTGTTTATCCATTTATCAGTCAGTGGACACTTGGATTGCTTCTATCTTTTTAAAAAAATATATATTTTATTGATTTTTTACAGAGAGGAAGGGAGAGAGATAGAGAGTTAGAAACATCAATGAGAGAGAGTCATTGATCAGCTGCCTCTTGCATGCCCCCCACTGGGGATGTGCCCACAACCAAGGTTCATGCCCTTGACCGGAATCGAATCCGGGACCCTTCAGTCCGCAGGCCGACGCTCTATCCACTGAGCCAAACCGGTTTCGGCTGCTTCTATCTTTTGCTTATTGAGAATAATTAATTGTGCTATGAACATAGATGTGCACATATCTTACTGAGACCCTACTTTCAGTTCTTTTGGGTTTATATCCAGAAGTGGATATAATTCTACTTTTAAGTTTTTGAGGAACTGCATATCATTTTTTTTACAATGGCTACACCATTTTCACCCCCACTAACAATGCACAAAGGTTTCAATTTCTTTACATCTTTGCCAACGCTTTTCATTTTATTTTATAGTAGCCAACCTAATGAGTGTGAGATGATATCTCATTGTGGTTTTGATTTTCATTTCCCTGATGATGAGGGATGTTGAACATCTTTTCTTGTGATTGTTGTATAAGTCATGAGATCTTGATGAAGATATCAGTGCTATCTGATGTATGCCATGTCCTAGTTATAGGAAAAGTACTTAAAGGAGCAAATTGCAATCTTTTAAATCTGTAGGTAGTGACTGCTAATGGGATTTCTTTTGGGGTGGGGGTAATAAACTATTCTAAAATTAGATAATGGCGATGGTTTCACAACTCTGGGAACATACTAGAAACCATTGAATTGTGCAATTTAAATGGGTGAATTTTATGTTTGTGAAGTAGATTTCAAAGCTGTTTCAAAATGCTGCCTTTTGAAAGTAGAACTAAAACAGTAATAGTGATTGGCCAACTCTTATTGAATAGAAGTGAATGTTACAAATTTTTGGTGAATTTACATTGCTACTCTCTTCTTTTACTTTCCCAAATCAGTTTTAAGTCCTCTAGTCTGATTCCGTCTTATGTAAGTAAGTATACCTTAGGTTTTTCTAACCGAGCAAGCCTCTTCATTCCATCTGAGGGGGCACGCAAACTTAATTTGGCAGAAAAACTAAGTTAGACAGGGATGGGTTAGCCAGCCTGGGGTGTCTCTGGGCCTCACCTCCTGTGGATTTGCAGAGGCTGACTAGAGAGAGAATATCATGATGGGTGGGTATCCTCAAGAATGGGGTAAGCAATTGCCTGAGCTGTGTTACGTAGGGCCTTAAATGTGCCCTCCCAATTCCCACACCTAAGTTATTCCCCTTCATTTGTTGACCTGAAGTCACACCATTACTTCCGTAGCCTTGGATAAGTCACCATGGCACGAGGCCAGCCCTAGACAGCCAGGAAACCCCACTAAGACCCAGTGCTTTCACAGACTGGGAGCCTTTGGGCTTAAGTCACAGACTTACATGTGTATGAAGAGCTTTTCTGAGGCTTCACTTTGCATGTATTCAACTTAGCAGGTTTCCTTGGTAAATCTAGAGGGGTACCCCACTGCAAGCTTACTGGCCTGGTAAGAACGGTAAGTGGCTAAGTAAGCTAGAGGAAAGATGCAAAATATAGGGTGTCCCCCAAAAATGTATACTCACTTTGCCTGGCCAGTGTGGCTCAGTGGTTGAGCATAGGCCTAGAATCCAGGAAGTCAGGGTTCAGTGCCCAGTCAGGGCACATGCTGGGTTGTAGGCTCAATCCCTAGGAGGGGGCGTGCAGGAGGCAACCAATCAACGATTCTCTCATCATTGATGTTTCTATCTCTTTCTCCCTCTCCCTTCCTCTCTGAAATAATAATAATAAAAAAATTAAAAACATATACACACTTTAACAACTGATAGCTTAATTTTGAAAAGGAAATGTATTTTAATAAACACTGCCTTGCCGAAACCGGTTTGGCTCAATGGATAGAGCGTCGGCTTGGGGACTTAAAAGTCCCGGGTTCGATTCCAGTCAGGGGCATGTACCTTGGTTGCGGGCATATCCCCAGTAGGGGGTGTGCAAGAGGCAGCGGATTGATGATTCTCTCTCATCGATGTTTCTGGCTCTCTATCTCGTTCCCTTCCTCTCTGTACAAAATCAATAAAATATATTAAAAAAAAATAAACACTGCCTTAATAATTATTCAAAGTATGTGTATACATTTAAAAAAACAAAACACTGCCTTAATAATTATTCAAAGTGTGTGTATACATTTTTTTTGATATCCTATAGTTTAAGGTTGAAGGTGCCAGAAACATATTTGAATGAAGAGTTGTCAAGTCCCTCTATCCCAACAATGATACTTCTGTAGGCTTTACATATTACCCTTCATCCACCATCCTTTTCAAGATGAGGAGATGGATCCAGGGAGAAGAAATGACTGGCTCAGGGCTGCATGGCCAATTAGTAATAGAGCCAGAGCTCCCGGCTCTCTTGCCTGATCTTGTTCCACTCAAGCTCCATACATCTCACCTCACCAGCCAACAGCCCTGGTTTCAGAGCCTCCATTGCAAAGGAGGAGCCAGGACTATGGACGCCGATGCAGCCCTCTTCGAGGGCCTCCCGGGCAGCAAGTGTTCACCCTTCCACACATGCTGCTCTTGCAGCTTTCTTTGGAGTGGGCTTCTCGCCTGGTTTCCCTTCTGCCTTTTTAGCTGCAGCCCCCTCAGTCTCCATGCCAGTACCATCTGGAGTTCTAACTCTGCTAAAGATCTCGGAAACTTTGCCCACCCCCTCTGCCATGCTCTGCCGTGTGGGCCTGCACCAACGCAGATTTACCAAGTACAGAGCGTTTTTCTTCTATTTATTTCTGATTGCTTAGGAAGAAAAGTCTTGCCTCTCAGACTTCAGAGTCTTAGCACTTAACTAGTGATAATGAAAAAAAAAAAAAAAAAAGATCTGTAGAATAGGCCCTCATGCTCTCCTCCAATTTGCATCATGGAAATGGGCTGTGGCTTCAGTAGGTGAGATACCCGAGCCAGGGGGGGGCTGTTTCACCCCCTTGGCCTCACAGCCGCCTGCTCCTCTGTCACCTCACAGGTCTTATTCTCTGAGGTCAGGAGTCCTGAAAACTCTCTATGTCTTGGAAAGTCTGCCCTGCACTCCTTGTGCAAAGGGAGATGCTATTTCTTCCATCTCTCCAACTATTTCCCCCTTTCCTCTTTTTCCTCCTTCATCCTGCTCTCCTTCCGTCTCTCTTCTTCATTTCCAGATTTCATTGCCCCTGTGACCAAAAGCCATCCAGCTACTTCCCATCTTGTGCTATGTCAGCAATGTGGTTATTTTTTTTATATGCAGATATAATGATACAGTTGGCTCATTCATCCTTGTTTGTGATATCAACCATCTGTGAATGACTCAGGCCAGAATCTAGCTTGAGAGGCCAGCCTATTCCCAGGGTGGGAGTCTCTCCCTCCTCATTTTACTCAAGTTAAGCAATGGGAAGGTCTTGTGCCTCTCGATGCAGGGTGTCACAAGGAAGCCCGAGGTCTGTGCTTGTTTGCATCTTGTTGCGCCTTGCCCCCCACTTTCAGGCAGAAGTCCTTGATGGGCAGAATTCAGACACCCCTCCATTGTAATGACTCCCACAGTGCATTTTGATTCTTTGTTTGCAAGCTATTCTACACCCCTAGAGGTGAGGGAGCACATTGCATCCATTGTGCCATCACGTTGGCACATAGCTCCTGAAAGGTGTGAAGTGGCCTCTGCTAGTGGAGGGTGCATGGCGTTTACGATGTGTAGCCTGTAGTGGTGCAGCACTTGGTGCCTCTCGCCTCCTATTATTATTATTTTTTTTCTTCCTGCAGGTGCCTTGCTGCCTACCACATACAATTAGGACAGAGTTCTCCAGCCCTGCACACAGAGTCTTACAACTACTAGATGTAAGATCATCATCAGTTTGAGCCAAATGAAGATGCTGCTGTTTGCTGTTTGTAACCTACAGAATACTAAGTGTCTTTTGACAAGAAGACAAAGTATTCATTGCTCAGGGTGTCCTGATGCAATTGATGGTGGAGTCCTCAGGCCTCCATCCCAGTATGGGAGGTTCTTCTCTTCTCTTTCCTTACATGGCCTCCCTTCAGGTGTGAAAAACCCCCCAAAACTTTAAAGATATCAAACCCCATGCCAGTTTATTGATTTTTTTGTTTTTGTTAAAAGATAGAACTGTCATGTGCTCGCTTCGGCAGCACATATACTAAAAGATAGAACTGTCAGGCTAACCAGCTATCTCCACCCTCCTGCTGCAGGAAAATCTCCCTGGAAGGACAACTTGGTATCACAAAGTTACTTGGTAGGCATTGGACTCTGATGATTTCAATGGGAGCATGTTCAGACGCAGAAGCTGGTGTGGGGGTGGCCAGCCCCAGGTAGATGGCTCCAGCCCAGCTGATGCCATCTCCAGCAAGCCCACTGCAGAAAAGGTAGGTTTTCTCTGTAGAACAGCATGTACCCTGCGAAGGTGATGAAAATTGGTCAGAGAGCATGCTCAGATAATCACGGGGTCCTGGGGTAATCCTGAGCACAGTTTGATCCCCACTGAGAGCAATTTGCTGAAGCCTGTGGGGGAAGCCAGGCAGGTTGACTTGGGTGATTTCCTACCCCCTCAAATAACTCATGATGGGATGGCCGTGGCTAAAACAAAGAGGAATCATCCCCTCCCTCCCTCCGTTTCTCTTTCCCTCTCTTCATTTCTTCCTATATTCTTTGTTTCTCTTTATTTTTTTTCTGGGATCTTTTAAAAAATGTAGATTATTTTCAATAAAAGGCATATATTTTAAGTGGATAGTTCAATAATTTTTGACAAATACATACTCTCATATAACTACTATGTTGATCACCCTGGAAAGTTCCCTTGTGCCTTTTCCAGTCAAGTCCCTCCACAAATGTCCTTCAACTGATGGATAAACAAAATTGGTCCATCCGTACAACAGAATGTTATCCAGCCACAAAAAGGAATGAAATACTGACACATGCTACAACATGGACTAAGCTTGAAAACATGCTGAGTGAAAGAAGCCAGGAGCAAAAGACCTGGTGGTGTGGGTTCCATTTGGATGAAATGTCCAGAACAGGCAAATTTATAGAGACAAAATGTATTAGTGGTTGCCAGGGTGGAAACTGAGTGCCAATGGGTATCAGGTTTTCTCTGGAATGAAATAGCGGTGATAGCAGCATAACTCTGAATGTACTAAAAATGACCACATTATGCACTTTATTTAAAAAAATATTTTTATTGATTTTAGAGAGGAAAGGACAGGGGGAGAGAGTGATAGACAAATCAAAGATGAGGGAGAATCATTGTTGGCTGCTTCCTGCATGCCCCACACTGGGGATGGAACTCACGAACAGTCATGTGCCCTGAACGGGAATTGAACTGTGACCTCTCGGTCAGGCCACCATGAACACTTTAAAATAGTGAATTTTATGGCACATAAAATGTGTTTTAATAAAGCTGTTACTTCGTTTGTAAAGTATATGATTGACTAAACACTATGCTTTACACCTGAAACTAATACAAAATAACATTGAATGTAAACTAATTGAAAAAATAAATAAAAATAAAAGGAAAAAAACTTAGGAGCCTGGACTATTATACAACAAGAGTTATCATCAGAAATAACTTCTTACTTAACTATGGGGCAGGGCAAACTAATGACTATTAAACATGTGCTCTCCCTGCAATTGCCTTCTGAGGCTGAAAAGTGCATTACCTCATTCCTAGCTCAGAATGGCTTAGGTACCTCAGTTTCCCTTTCTCTCTCTGAACCTCTTACGTCTGTGAGATCTCCGATTCTCTCATGGATGCAGAGTTCCCACACATATGTATGTAATTAAATTAAATCATTTTCTCTTGTTAAAAAAAAAAAGCCTTTATTTTAGATATGGAGCATTCCATCACCCCCAGGAAGTACCTTTACACCATTTCCCAGCCAAATTCCTTTTGGTAGAAGCAATCATAGTTCTTTTATCTTCTCCCAACATATTGTAGATTATTTGTGCCTGTCTGTTCTAGAATTTCATATAATTAAAATCACACATTTGGCACTCAGTTGTGTAAGGCTTTTTTCACTCAGCATATTGTTTTTGAGATTTGCCCATGCTGTTGTGACAGTAATTTGTGCTTTTTTTTTTCTTTTTCTTTTTTTCCCCCCCTGAATAGTATGACTTTTCCTGCAATTCCTTTATCTAGTTCCTTATAGGTGGTTTTGGCTATTATGAATAAAAATGCTATGGATATTTTTTTTGTGTGTGTGGCTATGTTTGAACAGGCTTTTAATGGATATATATATTTACTTTTCTCTTTGGTTAATACCTAGAAATAGAATTGCTGTTCATACAGTTTTATAAGAAACTGATAGGCCTTTTTCTAAAGCAGTTTTGCCATTTTACACTCTCATTAACAATGTTTGGAGTTTTGATTGTTCCATATCCTCACCAACATTTGGTGTTTATTAGTCTTTTTAATTGTAGCCATTCAGGTTGGTGTTTTGGCAGGCGAGAATTCTACCACTGAACCACCAATGCTCTCAGGTTGGTGTTTTGGAAATTTTAAATTTTGATGAATTCTGGTTTGTTAATTTTGTTAATGGTTAGTGCTTTTTGTGTTTACCTAAGAAATATTTGCTACTTCAAGGTCATGAAGATATTCTTCTATGTATTCTTTTAGATGCTGTATGGTTTTAATTGTTTAGGTCTAGGATTCATTTCAATTTTTTAAAATTAATTTGTATTTTTTTAATTGATTTTAGAGAGAGAGGAAGGGAGAGAGATTGATGTGAGAGAGAAACATTGACCTATTGCTTCCCATATGCTCCCTGATCAGGGATCGAACCTGTAACTTGGGTATGTACCCTGACTGGGAATTGAACTAGTGACCTTCCAGTGCATGGGGAATGCTCAACTAACTGAGCAACACCGGCCAGGGCAGATCCATTTTAATTAATTTTTTGTTACGATGTAAGGAATTGTGGTTCAGTTTTTTCCCTTCTGGATAGATAATTATTCTAGTCCATTTGTTAAAAATAATTTTCAACACATTGAATTGTCTTGGTATCTTTATTGAAAATCAATTGATCATATATATGTAGGTATATTTATGGACTCTGTTTTCTATTCCACTGATCTATTTGTTGTATACTAGTGCTAATATCAAATTGTCTTGATTACTGTTGTTTATAGTAACTCTTAAAATCAGTGAAGGTAAGTATTCCAACTTTGTTCTTTATTAAGATTATTTTGACTATTCTAGGTATTTTCATTTCCACTTACATTTTAGAATCTGTTCACCAATTTCTAAAAGTCTTTTAGAATTTTTATTGTAATTACCTTGAATCTATAGATTAATTTGGAGAGAAATGACATCTTAACAATATTATACCTTTCTAGCCAGGACCGGTTTGGCTCAATGGATAGAGCGTCGGCTTGGGGACTGAAAGGTCCCGGGTTCGATTCCAGTCAAGGGCATGTACCTTGGCTGCGGGCATATCCCCAGTAGGTGGTGTGCAAGAGACAGCTGATCGATGACTCTCTCTCATCGATATTTCTGACTCTCTATCTCTCTCCCTTCCTCTCTGTACAAAATCAATAAAATATATTTAAAAAAACAAACAAAAAAACAATATTATACCTTTCTAATTCATGAACATGGCACATCTCTTCATTTATTTAGATTTTCTTTAATTTCTCTCAATGTTTGGTAGTATTCAGTAGAACTTAAGTTTATCCCCAAGTAGTATTTTTTTTTTTTTTTTTTTCATATCAGAGAAACTGGCTTAGAGAAGCTGAATCACCACGGTCGCCAAGTAGTATTTTTATTTTAATAGAGGAACCCAGAAGCCACAAAGAGGTGAAGGTGAAGTGGCAGATAGACAGATGATGGGATGATATTTGGGATTGGGCCCTATTAGGCACTCCAAATAATCACTAATAAGAAGCAGGTAATTCTCACCAAATCCCCTCCATCTGGATATCAGAATCAAGCCAGTTCTCTGCCTGGGGACATGGTAGCCAAGAAGTCTGTGTTGGCTTATTTTCTCCATGTACTGAAATGAACACATTGTTAGTTCTTCTGGACACTGGGCACATATTCTTAGTGCTTCTTGACAGCTGGTCAGGCTCAGGCCGCTCCTGCTTCCTGACCCCTCTTGAGAGAAACTGCAATGCCTCAACTCTGGTTGAGTCTCCTCAAGCTGTTTCTTGAGGAGCAGTGGCCAGCAACCTCTGCAGGGTTAAAGAGCTGTGCATTGGTGATCTGGGAACTGTAGCAGAATCAACCACACACTTGGTAGAGGAAGAGTAGAGAAGAGATGAGAAGACACAGAGCATGGGAGGGGAACTGAATGACTTCATTGGCAGAGCAATAACGTAGGAGGCTATGAATGCTTGAAGGTTGGTCAATGGCCTGCTTTCCCATGCTGCTTTGCATTTCTAGTGGCTTTCCAGCGCCAGTGTCTGGGAGGTGTTACTCTCCTGGGGTTTCTGCTCTTCCTACAATTTCTGCTCAGATGTTTGACTTCTCAGGGGTCCTTGAGAGTTGGCTCTATGACTAAGATTCCTCTGTGTCTTATTTCCACAAGTATTCTGACTACATTGCCTTAATTCACTTCCATGAATTAATGATGGGACTGCTGCTTCCTGCATCCAGGAGTACCTGAAACGCAGCTGAGAATTCCTTTGAATCTGTTACATTACCTCAGGTTGGAGCCTTTGGTTTTCCCTTCGGTTGTGAGGTTGTGTAAGGGTGTGGCACAAATAACTAGGGCTCTCTGCTTTATCTTTGCTGTTTTGTCACACGCAGTTAGAGGTCTTATTGATAATTTGGAGTAAGCCCACTGAAGGCATCCTGAACGGGGATGGAGGCAGTCTGAAAGGCATGCCACGGGGAAGATCTGAGAGAATTGCTGTTCTCAGGAGATGCTTGGGGACCCACAGTTGCCTGGAAGAAGGAGCACGTTTGTTCCTGATGCCACACGGGGAGAAGCAGCGATAGGGAAAACATTTTGGCTTGATCTTTATAGGAACTGTACAAACATGGAACAGGATTCTTACCTGATTGTGATTCCCATATCCCTGGAATAAGCTACTAGCTGCTGTCCGAGATTCCTGTGCTGGACAGGATAATGTGGTCTTCAAGGTCCATTTGATTCTGTGTCTAACGCTTCACTACCAGGAGTTGAAATGTTCTCCTCCCAAGAAGATGTCTCCTGAGGAGAGGAATCCAAAGAGACATTTGGGAAGGTGAAGTCTCAGGGGCAGACATCAATGTGGAGAGATGGTTTGGGCCGGGTACTTGCCATTGCCCCTCGAATTAGACTGTCGCTGGTAAAGACCAGCCATGATCCATTTCACCACACGGAGATGCCTTCCCCATCCTGTTCTCACCAAGCATTTGTTTGCCAAAAGAGAGCTCCCTTAGACCAGC